GATGAATGCACCAGCTGCCTCTGCTTTCTCTTCCGCACTAATGTGAGTGGATTGGCTAGTACCTGCACTTAAAACACGATTTGATTCGCTGGTGCAACACGACGCAATAGATCTGCATGCAGTATTTTGGTTGAAGTCTCCTGTGCATAGTCCAGCGTGCAGAGAAACTGACACTCATTTCTTTTAATCTTTCCAAATCTTTTTTGAAATGAGGACAAATGCAAGCCTTTTTTTCACACATCAAGATAATATGAAGTTTGATTTATTTTGATTTCACTTATTTGCTTCTGTTCTCGAACTTGATTTTCATCTATAGTGTGGGGAAAGGACATTATGGCCTCTGCCTTCGGCCTGGATGATCATCCACTGGTCAGGCTGTGGAGGCCTGAGGTGGCACAATCCCAACATAATCTTTACAAGATCCTGCATGCTCAAATTTTCCATTATGCTCTCTGAGCCTGAGGTGTTGTCTTTTCAGTGAAGTAAATCCAAAACCGCTCACTCCTGGTCTCACTGCTGCTCGCTTTGTGATACAGACCCTGCAACACAAATTCAAAATGCAGACATGATAATATTCCAAAACATGCAAAGCTCCACATGTGTGTTTTAGGGAAACACGTCCAAAGTAGCTGGTTGCCTCAGTCGGACCCAGTGGTTTGTTTGCTGCTGTGGAGCCTCGAGTTGAGTTCGAGAGCAGGCACTTGTATGTTGTGCCAACCAACACTTTCACAGGTTTCACAGCCAGTTGCATTCATTCCAAGAGCCATCACGGTGTGTGCATGTGGCTTCCCTAACTATACAGTATCTATGTCCACACAATTCACAGCAGACAAAGAAATCCTTAAAATGAAGTACCCAGACAGCGACTTCTTTTCTTGGCAGGGTCCCTCAGTCCGTGGCCGTACACCAGCCAGAGCTACAGTGCTACTCTAAATACATATGTGCCAAAAAGCTGTTGCTGGCACAACTCCTCTAAAAGTCCAAACGTTGGAACCAATAGCGGCAGCAGCAGCAGCAGCAACAACATTTTCTGAAACCTTTAAATGCAAGATGACTTTAGGCTGCTTTCAGACATGCACATTTCTCCTGAAAATTTCCAAAGGAGCTGAATGTGAGAATGCAAATGTCCGAGTCAGTTAACTGCAAGCTAGTGGGCATGTTGATGACGTTTCTAACATGCAACTGAAAACTGTAGAACAGAAGCTAAACACACAAAGATGCAGACGAAAGACCGGTGTCACCTCTCACCTGAATGTTTTGGACATTTTCCCGTTGTTGAGAACGCGTCTCTTGCTGCGTTCTTCATAGGTGAGAGGCAAAGTCCAGAAAATGTCCGGACACATTATTTTTGTAAATTTACATCAAAGAAACGTCTTAAAATTGAGGGATGAGATGGTATGAAGAGATTAAAAAACAGAAAACCCAGCATTCACCTGCACGACAACCTGGATAACAACCACGCTGCAGATGCACTTGAGCGGGCCCGACAGCTGCCTCAGCACAAAGAGGGAAGAGAAAGAAAAACAGAAATAAGGAAGAGAGACAGTGAAAGTAGGGAAATGAAGAGCAAAAGAGAAGGAGCGCTCCCAAATTAAGATCCTAAGTGTTTAAGGAGCACATTTCGTGGAGATGCACGACCCCTCTCTGCCAAAATGTCACATCTAATATTGAAACCATGGACCTTATCGATTCAAACTGCTCCAGTAGCTTCACCAACTCCTGCAAAAGCACTCAGAGCAATTTCCGAGCTATTTGAGAGCGAAGTAGTCAGGTGGAGGAGAGATGGGTCGACGTCGGACAAATGTAATCACTGCTATAACCTTGAGCATATAACCTGATTCAGGCTAAATATTACACATGCTACTCGAGGCACCATCGAGGTAAATTGGTATCTTTACACCTGATTTTTTTTTCTCATCCAACAGGATTATTATCTTCAGCGAGACCTCAGGGGCTCAGTTCTCGAGTAACAGACTTATAAAAGTAACATTTTCTAGACGGAGGATGACATGGGAGGGGAGAGGGGGAGGACATTTGTGGAGAGGGAGGTGGACAGCTGTCCGCAGAGACCCCCCTGTGCACCACAGCCACGTTGTTAAAGTCCGACCAGTAAGAGCGCCGCCCGTCTGAAGACGAAAATGTCAGCGGCTGATACAAGACAATTAGAGTAAAACGTGTCACGGCTAGAATCACATGGGCTGTTTCTTCACACCATGGTTTCACCGTCACCGATCCGACTGGCCTCTTTGTGGGCGTCTGTCACACATGAAATGGTCCCAGATGGCCTGCGCTGATTTCATTAGCTGAGCTCCTTTTAAGAGGATCTGACTTATTTTTTTTTTAAATTCTTTCATCGGGATTATCTCTCGTGACAGGCCCGTACATTTAGACAGATTTTACCAAGCTCTGTCCCTTATTAACTCTGTCAGTCTGTCAGAGATATGCACACACACACACACACACACACACATATGCATGCATACACCACCCTTCTTCCTCCTTCCTCGGTGGCAGCCTGTGCCAAAGAGAACATATGGCAGGGACTCAAAGCTTGATAGCACTTGTATGACACATTATGCCGCTGCTGGTTATTATATCTCATAAAACACATCTTGTCTGATGTGTGTCTGGTGGAATCATAAAGCACCAAATATCTGTGGTCTTTTTAAGGACAGACGACTGAAAGCTCCCAAATGAATGATCTGACAAAAGCCAACACTTCTCTGAAAGTCTCTTATGTTGTCGTACTGACGCTGAACCCTAATGCCTTCTTTAATAATGTCTAAATCAATACACAATCCAGTGTTAATGTGCAGCGGCTAACGCTGTTCTCTTGTTCTGTGAGGCTGCACGTCCTTGATCAGCTTTGTAAAGGGCATCATTATTTTTTGTCAGCAGAATTGTGGCACATTGTCAACCTCTCCGCACAGGCTGTTGTTCTTTGGCTTTTGAAAAACTGTCTTTGTGTAGCATCTTCTAGACAAAAAAACAAACAAAGAAAGCTTTTCTTCTGCTGGTAACACAAATAACTTGGGGACAATTTCCATTTTAATCAATTTTTGAGAAACCTGCTTATTCTCAACTCTCAGATTCCATACTCTGTTGTGCTTTTGTGCCAAATGTAGCCCTGGGGTGGCTCTGCTCAAAAGTGCGGATGATATTTAAACAAGGTTTGGTGCCAGAAAAACATCATAAAGAGTAAATATATTTGTGGTGAGCCCCAGGGTAAAGTCCTGGGTCCATTTCTTTATTGTATATTTTGTCTTTAAGACTGAGGAATGCTGGAAGAAAACTTGATCATATGATTTGTTGTCCAGCGAAAAGTTTGATTTAAAAAGTTGCATTGCAGCCCGAGCCCAGTAATTGAGGTTTATACACCTGACCTATTGACACACTTATTTTGCACATTTATTTCTGCTAAGTTAATCGACGAACAAAGTAGTGAACTGACAAAGCCTCGATGCTCCAGTTTTAGACACTGTGGAGATTTACCGTATCTCCCTTCCTCATATACTCAATCATGCAGCAGGATTGTTCCATCTGCTGTGGTGCATCTTAAAAATATCAATTTAATGTATCGAGAAAATAGGTTCACACACACGCACCACATGCATTGATAATTCACAGCACAAGTGTAAACAAGCTCGCCAGAAAACCAAACGGAGAGAGATGGCTGTCGTTGATGTTCACATCTGGAACGAGCTTCTGTGAAGAGCACCCACCACAAACTCTTCACATCCTCACAGCGTGTGCACTTAATCCCTTTCCTGAGCAGAGTAACAGGCAGATGTAGAAGAAACGGTTTAATATCAGAATTCAAACACGGAGCTCTGGGGAGCTGTGGTCAGGAGCCAGTTTGAACGTTTGCTCCTCGCAGCTCAGTGATTTGACTTTTATTTGATGTGAGTGCGACTTCAGCAAGAGAGCGAGAATAACAGAAAGGAATGGATTGTGTTTACATCCCTGTTTTATCATGATGTGTGTGTGGGGGGGGGGGGGGGGGATTGTTTAAATGGGATCTCTGAGGACAATGTTTGGTGCATTTCTGAAATAATGCTTGACACCTTCAGCCGAGAGACTAATCTGTGTGTGGGTTAGGGTGTGTGTGTGGAGTTGTTGCATGTTTGTTGTCACTGTGTTGACGCCCAGCAAGAAGCTGTCAGAAAAAAAAGCCTTGGGGATCACATTTGATTTGCAAATGAAAGAACACACCCGCACATTTGCAAACACACACACAGTTCTACATAAGCACACAGACACAGGTGTGTTTGTTCCCCACAGGGATGATTTGCAACTGAATAGGCTTGTTGCACAGGCGTGTTGCACAGGCGTGTTGCACAGGCGTGTTGCACAGGCGTGTTGCACAGGCTGATTTCTAAGTTTTGACAAAATGCTTCCATGGGAAAAGCATGAGAAAAATTTTTGATGGATTAAACCTGCAGCAAAGCAAGTACTCATTACTACATGATTATACAAGTACTCAGTGCTCACTGTATTATATGAATATGTACTAAATAATAATTACCACATTATTACATACTCACTTCTCATCAATTCTTTATTGCATGCATTTTGCTCATTACTACATTACTACATTATTGCTATAGTGCTTAGTAGCCATTACTACATTACCTGTATACACCAAGGACATGTCATGTACCTTCTATCAAGTCTCAGATAAAGTGGCTCTATTAAAATTCAACCAAATGCTGTTTGCACTAACTCTACTGCTCCAAGGTCAACACTCTTTACACTGTGTGTGTGTGTGTGTGTGTGTGTGTGTGTGTGTGTGTGTGTGTGTGTGTGTGTGTGTGT